CCAGGCACCCTGGGGCTCAGGGGCTGTGCACTCACCTCCCCCCACCTTGTGAACCCCCCAGAATGAAGCGCTGCTGCGGCAGATGCGGGAGCTGGAGGAGCAGTGCGGGGTGGAGATCAACAGCTACCAGGACACGGTGAGGCGGCTGGAGCAGGAGATCCAGCACATGAAGGAGGAGATGGCACGGCACCTGCGTGAGTACCAAGACCTGCTCAATGTCAAGATGGCGCTAGACATCGAGATCGCCACCTACCGCAAGCTGCTGGAGGGCGAGGAGAGCAGGTAGGCGCTGCACCAGGGTGGGCAGTGGGGCAAGGCCCGGGCATATGCTCACCACCCTGTCTGTCCCCCAGGATCACCGTGCCCATGCAGCTCATGCCCTCTTTCACCATGAAAAGCTCGGGTGAGTCCATGCCCTCAGGGGTGTGGGAGGGACAGGTGGGAGAGGGGTGGGCCCTGCCTCCAGGCATCTCTGCCCCCTGTGCACCCAGGAGCCTCACATGCCTGAGGCCTGGAGGGCAAAGGGAGAGGAAGGACTTGGGGACCCCCCCCCTGATGTCCCCTCTGCCCCCTAGTGCCAGAGCCGGAGCTGGTGCCAGTGGTGGAGACGCACACCAGGAAAATGGTTCTGATCAAAACGATTGAGACCCGGGATGGAGAGGTGAATTACCCCCCACTGCCCAGTGCAGCCTCCACCTGGGACTGGGTCCAGCCCACTGCTGGCTGGACTTGGGGGCAGGTACAGGGTGGGAGAAGGGACACCTGCATTCTCTCTGGGCCCTGGAGGGAGCCAGGACGCCTGGGTTTCGCTCAGGCCTGGGGCCACATGACCCAGTGGCTAGGGCAGGGTTTGCCGGCCGCCTGGCCTGCATCCCAGCTCCCCTGGGGGCGTTGCTTCCTCCTCCAGCCACTGCGTGGGCCGGGTCCGGGCAGCCCCCAGCCTGGCACAGAGGGACACCGGGTCTGACCCCTTGCTCCTTGGCAGGTGGTGACGGAGTCGCAGAAGGAGCAGCGAGCGGAGTCAGAGAAGTGACCCCTGCACCAGGCTCCGCGCAGCCCCCCACTGCAGCCCCTCCCCCCCACGCCGCACCGGCCTTACACGACTACTGATACCTCTGAGCCCCGGCACCCCTGCACACCCAACTTCCACCGGCCCATGGTGCTCGGGGATGGGAGAGCAGAGCAATAACCCCTCCTGGGCAGGGGCTGCTGGCAGGGAGGGACCTAGGAGTCCTGCCCTGCCCCGCCCCCACCCAGCCTCCCCTTGCCCTGCCTCCTCCGGGGCCCTCCACCTTCCTCTGAAGCATCAGGACCTGCCTCACCAACACCACTGGCACCAGGAGGGGGGCAGAGCCCGGTGCTGGTAGAGGCTGACACCAGGATCCAGGACCACCTGTCACCTGCAGGGCTGTATCCTGGGCCTGGTGTGGCCTGGGCCCCCCGCGGAGCCAGAGGCGGGTGCCAGCACTGCTGCTGCTGTTCGAGTGTGGTGCCCGTAGCGAGTGCTTCCCGCCCAGAGCCAGAGTCCCACCCGGCCCAAAGGGCTGATACCAAAGCTGCCCCACTTTTATACCATAACCCATCTCCCTGCTTCCAGCGCAGACTTGGCCCGGGGTTCACCGAAGCCAGAGGGCCTGGGGTGGTGGCATCCATCTGGCACAAGCCTGGGCTGTTCCTTAACCCCAGCTCTTTTCTTGGGGCTGGGGGCTCCGCAGCTCCCCGTTCTGTGCTTTGCTCCCCCTCTGTCACACTCGGTGCCTCTGCCTCAGCATCCTCTTCCTCTGCCTCGGTCCCCTCTGGACTAGGCCAGGGGGATGAGACTGGGGCTACTCAGCCAGCTGCCCCCCTTCCCCTCTGGCCCTGTAGGCCCCCCCCACAACCCGCTGCAGGAGTTGCTGTGGTGCTCCTGGGTCTTCCCCGACCTGCCTGAACAGGGACGGACCCCAACCTTGTATCTGCTTGTCCAGCCAATAAAGAGCCTAGTGAGGAGCTGCTCTGCTGTATCCCCCCCGCGGCACCGGGGCTGGGAGGGGGGGGAGGCAAAGTGGTGACCCCAGTATTACCACAGCCCTGGGGACATTGGGGCTGCAGCCCATAGGGCTCAGGGCATCCTATGGGCCGGGGGCATGGAAGGAACCTGCCATTCCAATTTACAGTTTAATTACGGTTTAATTAATGACTGCCCTCTCCTCCGTGCTCTGGGCCAGTGGGGCCAAGTGCAACAGACTGGGCCATGTAACTGGACCATGCCCTGGCAGCGTGTGTGTGTGTGGGTGGGGAGGGTGGTTAAGGAGCTCTGTTTGTTGGGGAGGAAAGAGGGAGGGGGCTCTGTTTGTTGAGGAGAAGGGGGAGGCGGCACTGTGTGTTGGGGAGAGATGGACAAGAGGGCTCTATGTGCTTAGGGGGAGGGGGAAGGATGAGACGTGGGGTGGGGGCTATGGGTGGAATAAAGCTTTTTGTTTCAACCATGTGCATTCCTGAGAGTGGTACTGGGGGTGAACAAGGGGGTACGGCGTATGTAGATGGCAGGGCAGAGAGGCTAGAGGAGGGAGTGTTTTAAGAAGTGGTCCACCAAGTCTTCCCACACCCCATGCCCTGGCCCCCACTGGCAGGTGTGTGGCTTTCCTGGGGCCTCATTGGTGGGGCCCATCACTGGAGCTGCTGCTGCAGGTGGTGCTCCCACCACCAGGCCACCTCTGCCCAACACACCTCTTCTGCCCAGGCCTCCCTAAACACCTCTCCCTGGAACTCAGAAATATTGTGCAGCATGCACACTGTGATGATGACCCAAGGGAGGTTTCTTTTGGTCACCTCCAGGTGAACCATGAGGGACCATTGATGACCTTTGAGGCAGCTGAAGGTGCACTTGACAAGGGCATGGGTTCACCCAAGGCACCAATTAAAATGGCCCCGCCAGGGTTCCAAGTGCCCAGTGTAGGGCCTCATGGTCCATGGTAATAGTAGCTAGGCTGGGTCCCTGATGAGGAGGGGTGGGATGACAGCAGCAGTACAGCAGGACAACTAAGATGGCCAGGAGGATCTGGGGACACTGTTCCTAGGTGCTAGGGCCAGAGGCTAGGGCAGCCATAGCTAAGAAGTGCAGCTAGGGCAGGAGCAGAGTTGACATATGCTGCCTATACCCATGCCACACTGCTTCTCTCACAGAGGAAATGGCTGCCTAGACTGCACAGTATGGGACTCTGTTTTAAATATGCCTGCCAAATGCTGGCAGCTGGCTCTGGCTTCTGGCAGCCATGTGGGCAGAATCTGAAGCTCCCTCTGGTGGCCACAGGGGGATATGGCAGGGCTGGAGGAATCTGGCACTAAATTTAGTGCCAATTCTCTGTACGTGTAGACATCTACCAAAAATCGATTAATGCACATTAAGCTAATGTGTAGTAAATTTAGTCACAACTATTTTCACATGTAGACATGCCCACAATAACCAGATCTGTCTCTGTATCACACTACTTGCAGTCATTTTATATTTGGGTAAACTTGGACTAAAATGTATCCTGGGAGTTGGTAGCATATTATACTAAGGTCTAAGCAGGCAAGTACTTATACATGTGTTTAGCTTTAACTTCATTAATGGCCAGTGGGGATCTCCTGCTTAAAATTAATCAAATGCATAAAAATTTACAGGACAGGGGTCTAATTTTCATAGTTTCATAGATATAGGGTCGGAAGGGACCTAGTAGATCTTCTAGCCCGACCCCCCCCAGGGCGGGAGAACAACAAAACCCCAAAACAAAAACGGGACTCAAATGAGTCCAGCCAGGTAGGCATCCAGCCTCTTCTTAAAGACCCCCAGGGTAGGGGCCAGCACCACTTCCCTTGGAAGTTGGTTCCAGCTCCTAGCCGCCCTA